AGAATTTTTTATATAAATATTTTTTATATTTGATGTTCATTAATACAAGTCTAGTGTATATAATAGTAAAAGTGTTTAGGATCGAACCAATCCAAACAAATAATAAAAAACTCAAAAAAAATATGAATAACTAGATAAATTTTTGGATCGAATTTAGATTTTTTTTTCATAATAAACTCAAATTTAATCGAAATAAATTATTTATTATTATTAAATTTTCTATTATTTCACTCGTATATAAGAGAGATTATGCGAGAAAAAAACTTTATATGCCTAATTTATGTCATACTTATAAATTTCTGATAGAAGAATAGTCAATATGCTTAACATGTGAATGAGGTGGAAGAAGATTTGTTTGAATGGTGTAAATATTACATTATTAATCTTAGAAATAGAAGTGTTAAAATAAAATAATATATTACTATAATGAAATAATATAAATAGACTGATTTTGACGTTTATGTTTAGAACTAGGATTTGTTAGATCAATGAGAGATAGATCCTAAGGGCTATCTAGTATTCGTGCCATTAATTATAAATGCATTGTAACTACCTTTGTTCTTGTAATTTTTTTTATTGTAAAAAAAATTGTATTTATTTTATTGTTAAAGTATGGTCAAACTCTTACAAAAAGAATCATCTTTAGAAGGAAAAACAAAGTTTTGCTTCACTTGGACCATCTTGGAAGATGAAGAAGTAGTGTAGGATTTTAGATAATGTATTCAGCCATTTAGTGTAGGGTTCCTTAGGCTTGTATTAAGGCCTAATTAGTGTAGGGTTTTCTTTAAGTTAGTGTACATCTAAACCAAGTGAAAAGTGTGTGTCATGTATCATGCTACCATTGGAGATTATTTGTCTTTTATAGTGGTCAAATGACACTCTAAGATTGGAGAGGTTTTGCTTTATAAGTAGCCACATGTCCTTCCACCATTGGAGAAGATTTGAACACTTGTCTCAACCCTAGAGGGCCTCCAAATTCTCGGCCACACCTTAATCCTTAGGGTTAGCTTTTTTTTAGGGTTGTAAGAGACACCCTTGCCTGTATAAAGAGGTGTTTTCACTCTTGTAATCATATTGGAATTTAAGTAAGGTTATGTTATCCAAATTTGGCCACATTACTTCTCCTTGATCGAGACTAAAGCAATCTTAGAGGTTCCTCTAGTCACCTCACCTTCCTATTGAGTTGGCCTAACCTCTTTTTGAGCCTCCAAACATCACACCACCACCAACCTTTCAACTAAGGTTGTGAGCCTACCTATTGTCCACCACCATTTGCACAACCTTGGACCTTCATTCTCACTATATTTTGCACCATAACACTCGAAGGGACCGTCCTCGTTTGCTTCCTTTTAATTTTAGTCCAACCTAGTTATTAAAGAGGTCGTTATCACTTACTAAGATGTGTGTAAACAAATTATTTAATACTATACACAATGTTAAACAAAATAAATATTATACAAAATGAAGCAAATAATGAAACTATTAATTATGATATAACATTAGGTCGTTATGAGAAAAAAAAAAGATAAGACTAAATACATGCAAAAAAAATACATTAAAATTGCAAAATCGATAAAAAAAAATCAATTCGCAAAAGTTAGTTTGGCTTGTATTTTTTTTTTAATTTTTATGTTCAAAGCGAATCAAATTGCATGTAAGTTTTATATTCGGTTTGAATGAAATCTTTTTAAAGAAAAACAAATAAATTACACCATAGTAAATACCCCTGTATAATTGTAACTTTGTTAAAAAAGAAACACGTTAAAAAGGTTTGTAACTAATTAAAAGGTTAATTTCAAATACATGTTAATAACAAAAAAAAAGGGTTAAATATGTTTTTAGTCCCTAAACTATTGACCGTTTCTGGTTTTCGTCCCTCTTCCAAAGTAAGGTACAATTTAGTCCTCAATCTTTAAAAAACGTTCGTTTTAGTCGAAAAAACGAACGTTTTGAGGACTAAAACGAGGACTAAAAACAAAATTTTGAGGACTAAAACGAACGTTTTTCTAAAGAATGAGGACCAAATTGTACCTTACTTTGGAAGAGGGACGAAAACCAGAAACGGCCAATAGTTTAGGGACTAAAAACATATTTAACCCAAAAAAAAATTCAATGAAAGATAATACGATGAATATAGTCATATATAAGACTATTCAAGTCTTAACAACTTACAAATTTAGACTAAGGACTTGTTGTTTTGAGTGGATTTGAAGAGATTTGAGAGAATTTGAAGATAAATTTTTTTTTCGTTTATTTGAGTGAATTTGAAGGTAAATGAAAGTGAATTTGGAAATAATTTTTTTTTAATTTGTTACGTCGATACAATTCTATACTAATTCTCACAAATTTTATTTCCAAATTCACTCTCATTTACCTCCAAATTCACTCTCATTTACCTCCAAATTCACTCAAATAAACGACAAAAAAATTTATCTTCAAATCCACTCAAAAGAACAGGGCTAAATAGTCTCACGACTCAAATGTTATTTGTATAGAACTTTTGTTATTACTTTAAAAATAAATTTTAACTTCTTTCCTTTGACATATGTTTCAAAAAGAATATTGTTTTTAAAGGATAATATGGACAATCTCTTATGAGGTTAGTTTTTATAATTTTGAAACTAATTAAGTTCAAGCTAGAATATACACACTTTTATTATCAAAACCTAGAACATATTATTGAATAACCTACTCTTTTTTAATTTGTATACAATTTATCTTGTCTTTAAGTTGAGAAGATCACAATATGTCATCATCGTTTTTTTACCATACAATAGTCTTTGTTGAAGATAATATAATATTTATTATTATACAATTGATTTATGCTAAGTAGATTATATTTATAATGTTCTATTAATAAGACATTATCCAGTGGTTATGTATACCTATTGTTTTAATATTGATGATCTTCCCTTTTCACTTTTTGTTTAATCCTTCTTTCTTGTTTCATAAGTCTTCGAACATAGACATTCACCCATCATATGACATAGACACCATTATTTAATTACTAGGACAAAATCATTTTAATAGGAATTATTTTATCTTTATGTATTTAGATAGATTTATCATGTTAGCTTTCATAACTCTAAACACTCAATGTTTTTATACTTAACTATGATGCATGATTAATAATGAAGGTATGATGTTTATTTACTTGCTTATAGTATTTTCTCCTATATAGCTTAATTATGTCTTGTCATAAAGATTCCTTGATGTTTCCATCAAAAGATAATTTTTTTTTACCTCTTAAGTAATTACTTGATGTTTACATAGAGATAAATTTTCTAAGTTCTTATACATTTTTAATGTTGTTTTCACTTTCTTGGAAAACTTGGAAAGATGTTATTGGTGTGATCATAACTATCATAATAATTATTTAATAAATGTAGTTTGTTTAATATTGGTAGGAACTAGGCCAAATAGAAAAAATAGACAATTTCTTGTTTAATTTATATATATATATTAAATAAATTAGATAGGCAGTAATTATTGTTTATCAAATATATTTACTGCACGAAGTAATATATGTACTGAGATTTTGCATTCCCAAGTCATTTTTGAACCAAAGATGCTTTCTCTCTTTTTGAGTTTTCTTCTCTTTTTATGGGTTCAACTTCTTCTGCTTTCAAATTTTTTTTTATTTTCATTCATCTCGTTTGAAACTCACTCATTTTTGTTTATATCTGTTCAAGTATACGTATTTTATTAATTTTTGTTAGTTATATTTTTCGTTCATCTTCATTTCAAATTGGTTTTTGTTTTTATTATATTTTGAAATTCAGTTTGTAATATTTACCGAATTTTGAAAGTCATAGAGTGAATAGTTTCAATTTTAATTAAATTTTGGAATCCAATTTAGAGAAGCACAAGATTTTGAAATCCAATTTACAGATCATTAAATTTCAAAATCTGATTGATAAACTCAACGTATATAAAAACTCATCATATTTTAAAGTCTAATTTAAAAACTCATCATATTTTAAGATTTGATTTAGAAATTTATCGTATTTCAAAATTCAATTTTTAAATTTATAGTATTTTGAAATCCAAATTAGAAAATTCATCGAATTTCAAAATTTTATTTAAGAACTCGTTAAATTACAAAATCCTCTTTAAAAACTCATTAAATTTTAAAATTTGATTAAACTTTCTGATTAAACTTTCTTTTAAATTTTAAAAAATTTCAAAATCCCGTTAAACTTCCTCTCAGATAAGTTAATTTAACAAGTTTAATCATGATAATATTTATACTATTAATAGATATTCTTTCATTAAGAATCTAAATAGCAATCTACAAGTGAAATCTAATTTTTTTTTTTTACTAAAATCTAATTTTTTGACTAATATGTTTTTCATGATATCACTCCTATCATGAATAATTTGTAGAGTTTATAACATTCAAATTCAACTCATAGTGTTTCTGATATTTTTAACATTTACATAGACTTTCTTTAAAAAATAAATAAAATTAGCTTTTGATTAAAGTAATATGTTTGATTTGAGAAAATATTCTAACACCAATAAAATAAGTCAGTTCAAATAATAATAAAAAATCTAATATAAATAGACCAGAGAAAGCATATACAAAAAATTAAAAATATTTTTTGAAAGGTAAATTGAATAATTTTTTTAATATGATGAAATTTTTATCTTATGTAATGATTTTCAAGATAAAAATCATGCATTTTTTTCATAAGTTTTTTTTTATGATTATGATATAATTTTATGTCGTGATCTTCGTGTTTTTATTTCCTTTTTAAATGACAATTATGTTTAACGTGAACTTATTTATTATTTAAAAATTAACGAACAAACAGTTTAAGTTCTTATTTCCAGCATTATTTTACTTGTTTATTTACAGTGAAATATTTTATACACTTTTTCCTTTACTAATAATATATACAGGTCAATGTCATTTTACCCTTCAATTAATTTGAAGCCAGATACTAGATTTTAACAACTGAAAAAATATCAAGCAGACCAAAATGGCAATCAAACTGTTAAGAAACGAAAGTTGCAATTTAATCTTAAAATTATAATAATGATACATTGCATTAATCTTATTTTTGGATGCTGGCAAACAACCCATAAGTAACATTATTTTTTTTACTCTGGGTAGAACACAACGTCCTCATTTACAACAAGGAAGAATGAATTTACCAAATTAAATGTCATGTCCATATAACACATGCATATATACAAAAGGATGTTATGGAGAGAGATATATTATAATTCACCAATGACATTTGGTAGCTACTTGTGTTGTTCTAGATCCTTTAGTTGTTTTTTTAAAAGTGAATGTTCATACCGCATCCTTTCAAGCCTACTCTCAACCATGTACATCTCATCTTTAAGGTGATGGATTCTTTTCTCCATCCATGCTATGTCTGAAGGATTTCTAGTCATGTCATTTTTCATAGTATTCATGAAGTCTACAGGAGTGTTCATATGTATGTGTTGAGGTCTTGCCAATAGCAAAAGTATGCTAAACTGCTGCAGAGAATAAAAGGTTATCAGTATTATTGACTTGGAATTATGCTGAAAGATAAATCTTTATAGACACCATACCATTAAATCTCAGATATTAGAAAATCAAAATTAAAAAAAAAAAAAAAAAGAACTGGTAACCAAAGCATTAAAGCCCAACAAAGATGCTTCCAGAGAAAACATGAGAATTGAGGGCTTGGATGATTCTATTATATCAATGTTACTCAACAGCTAAAATACGAATTTTAGATTCTTGAAATTTAGTTGTCATGTGAAAAATATAGTCACAAACTGAAGTGACAGAATGTGCAATTTTGATGCTAGCAAGTGCAATTTTTTTAACACTTTAAGTTTGAAGAAAACACACAAGTACTGCTAGTCTAAGAATCCTGACAGAAATTTATTTATATAATAAAGAGAAAAAACATAAATGTGTCAAAGTTCATGTTTAAAGTACACACCTGAATGAAGAAAATCAGGGCGATAATAGTAACAAGAAGCAGAGAAAGATTGCTTTGACTTTTCAAGGATGATCTGAACTTTGTCATAAGCTGTATGAACAATGGAACAGATGATGGTTCAGCTAAATGCCCTTGCAAGTGAGAGCCAACATTGTGGGTAGTAGTAGTAGCATCCAAGGCATTGCATGTAGGTAGTATCTTTGTAGGGTTACTTTGTTCCTGTGATCCTTCTGAAGATTCTCCCGTCTTCACTTCTCTATCTAAATTTATTTCACCGTTTTGATCTACAACAGCAGAACCACTTTCAGAATCACGAAAGTAAACCATAACTCATAAAAAATTAGACATTTTACTGGACACAGTGTTGTATGGAACCCAGAAGGAACTTCAAATTTTTTGGAGATATAGAAATTTTAAAAACCAAACCTTGTTTTTCAAGGTTCTTCTCCTTCAACCTTTCATGTGCCTGAAATATCAAACAGTTTCAAATAAACATCCAAAAGAAAGCTTGCACAGGCAGCAAAACAAAATTTGTATGATAAAAGAAACAGCACAAACACAAGATTACCATGTTCATCCATGTCGCATAAGCATCTCGACATTCTTCAATTGTTGATTGTACAATTTTGCCTGTGATTGTATTGACATGGAATTAAAGAAATTTCAAGCTCATGATGACAAGACAAAATAGAAAACCAATAATATTAAAGAAATTAAAATTGTTTAGGGGGAGACAGATGATTTTTATTGAAAAAATTCCTATGATTCAGTTATGTTAATGTCTATAACTAGGAATAAACTAGAAGATCAAAATAAAATAAAAAAGAAGAAGAAAAATATAAGGAATTATATTATCAATATTGAATATCTTTTATTACAGACATCAGAATTCCACCCACACCTTTCCAAATAGTTTTTTTAGAAAATGCCACATTCACATATACGCGCATGATGCAGCATTCTTTGGATTCATCCTTGTCTCTATCTACACTCCACAGCCCCTAATAATTCACAAAGAAACCATTCATAAGTAAAAACTCTTAATTCAAGGGAAACATAATTAACAATGAAATTACTAAACAGAGAACTAAAAGAAGACTGCTTCATAAATAAAATAAAGTTCAATAATAACAACCTCATGGAGTCCCAAAATTGGGTAATGAAATAGTAATCTTTTAACTACGTAGATTGATTTACTCAAAATTGATACAAGCAATTCATTTATAACTTGTGTAACTAATTAAGTGAAAACAATGCATGCTGAGGTACCCTGATGTCAAGAGTATATAATCCAACATTAAATACAAATACCAGAGATTATACTGCAACAGTAACAGCAAACATTAATCAAACTCATTAATCAGTTAGACATCCAGAAATGGAAAACAGTCCAAATGTTTGAAGCCTAATTCCTTAAGGGACCACTATATTTAAAAATGACACAATAACAGCCCCCTGAGTACCACTATCAGTAAAATGTGCAAATGATTTTCCAAAAGCAGCCCCAAAAAAGTAGTTGTATCTAGCAATATAAAGTAGGTGGGGCCCATGCAATATAAACCGTTAATTTGTCTTCCCTAAATTAACCTTGAGAGATAATTGGTTTATGATTGAAACATTTTGTGTTGATGATATTATTCACTTCCTTTTTTTCTTTTTGTTCCTCTGCTGAAGAGATATTTCGTCCTTAATCTCAATAAATTTGCCCCTCTAACAAACTTTACTTTTCTTCAAACAATATAACCCAAGAAATATTTAATTAAAAATGTATAAGTCAAAAATTAAATTACTTAAAAGCCAATGTGCATTAGAGAATTATTGTTTCAAGAAAATCCGTACCTCAACACGGAAATAATCTGCATAAGGTACATCACTGACTTCTTGAGATGTCTCTATAACCAAATGACTGGATGAAATAACAAAAACATGTCAAGATAAGAACATATTATAAACACCTTAAAAACACTACATTTCAATTTCATGTACTCAATGCAGTAACTTTTAGACAAATAAATCACAAAGAACACAAGAAAATAGATAAAGGGAATAATAAAATTCACAAAGCAAAAGCAATTATTTACTCTTCCACATAACATAACAAAAGTATCAAAACTCCCAAGTCCTACACAGTTTATATCATCCGAGACTAGAAAAGTAAAAACAAAGTAAACAAGCCACCAACAAGCTTCTACTTGTATGCTGCGTTCCAAACTTAGTTCACGGTTTGAAACAGTGAAGGAATAATAAAAATGCACAAGAGAAGAAAAACCAACCATTTTTACTCTTAAACATAACATAATAAGTATCAACAATGCCAAGTCCCACCCAGTTTTTATCATCCAACATTAAAAAAATAAAAACAAAGTAAACAAGCCACCAAAAAGCTTCTACTTGTATGCTACTTACACCATTCCAAACTTATAATACTTGATTTGAAACAATTAAATTGGTTAATTAAATAAAAATACCCCTTCTCTCCAATATACACCCACCTCCCAATCACAAGTTCTTAAAAAGCAAGCAACTAGCAGGACCCAAAAATTCCATTTCTATCAACTGTGTAAACTCTGGCACCACACAGCTTTATCCAGGCTACAATGCAAATAAAACAGGAAGATATGCTATTGCAACACTTCATTACGTTATCCAACCCACCCCACAACCCACAACATCCATCCCCGTAATTATCCTCTAGCTAGCTTATTTTTTATTAGAAGCTCCCTGAAAACTTTACCTTAAAAGATTGCAGTGAGAGCGGAAGATGAATACATGTAAAACATAAATAGACTGAGATAAAAGTCATTGAAAAAACCTGTTCTTATAAATACGAAATTTCTGGACCTCATTGCAGCCACCAAATTTTGCTCCTGAAAAAGAAACCTAGTCATGTCCACTGGCACATAGGTAGGATGCCAACATTTTTAGCTAGCATTAAACATTTAGTTCCAATGTTCTTCAATTAGTCACACAGAACACTCATCTGAGTCCCATTAACTATCATTAAGTCTACTTTTCCACCATTTTATAAAAATGTGACCTTGTGGACATATTAGCTTTTCCTTCTCATAGCTTTACTTAAACATATTCAGTCAATAATAACTATGTTAATAGCTGGTTGCAAAATTTAGATTCAATCCTTAAACTTATTCCTATAAAATTGAAGAGCTCCATAACTCATGAACATGTATGTCAATGTAAATTAGTTTATATGACTTTTGGGTAATCAACAACCTATAAATACGATGGGCTACACGTATGTGAAAAGTAAGTTGGAAAAATTATACAATGTACGTCAAAATTAAAACAGCAGAAGCATACCAAGATAAATTTTTATTGGATGTTGAAATGACAGTTCACGAGCATACCCAAATTTCTCCTGAGGATGCCACGAACCACACTTAAAGTCTGAAAGCAAAACAAGTAAAAAGTAAAAAAATAAAAAGATAAAGAAACTCATCAAACAATGATGTATGGAGAAATACATCAGTTAATTCTACTCCTTGCCTAAAATAATATTAAATGACAATGAGAATGGTAAGGAATACTAGAAAATGAAAATTGTCAATTGAAATGCATAGGTTTAGAAGTTTCATGCAGGTTACCTTTATCACCACATTTTTTGTGAAAAGACTCAAGAAAATTTACAGCATCATCTGAGAAAAAGTACCTAAAGAAGTCTTCAACCTTTATCTGCAATGTGTAAAACCAAAACTTTGAGAAAATCTCTAAATTTTAAAATTAAGATTTATCAATATAACAACGGAAACCTTAAAAATGTAAAAAACAGATCTAATGATTTACAAGTAAGATTATACCGGAAACACTGCTTCTGCAACGCATGTAAATGCTTCATCAACTGCATATTAGAAAATAAGTTCAAAATCCCATCAGATTAGTTGCACGTATAAGGTGAACCAATAGCAGAGTATGCCACAAGATAAATGTGGTGGACATCTACACATGTGATGTTTCTCCTTTTCACATGCATACAATGGTTATCAAACCCTAATAGAAGCACATAGAGGCCTAAAGAATGTATAGCAAGATGACCACTATTCTGAATAAAATAAATCAAGCTAAATAATTCATATTACATATTTATAAATTCTCAAATAAAAGGATACACAAGAAAAATGTATATCTATAATTACTAAAAGAAGATAAATTCTTAAACATAGAAATCAATAACACCAAAGACACATTCTTAATAGTCCAGCGGCTTCAAGGACTGTGAAGTTTTTCAAAATAGAACATAACACAAGAAATACAGGGTAAGTGGTAAAGCAGAATACAGATTTGGGATTAGGCCCCAAAAAAAGTATAAACAAAAGCAGAAGGATGAGCAACAAAACAAAGGCAAAGGAAGGGCAAAGATTTTTCATTAAATTTTTCTTTACATTCTTTAAATTTGTTGTGCAATGATCACTTTTGCTCTCTGACACTCATCACACTCTGAGCATTTTCGCTCTCCAGCACCTGCCATGTCCTATTACCATTTTTTTTCTTTCAGCAGCCACCAGATCCTCCGGCAGCTGTGGTGTCATCTACCCAATTTTTCTATACGGGAGACACTATGTCCTCTAACCATGTTTGACAAACTTGAACCGTATGATACATATGTTCCACCTTGAGGGGAGTCTTAACGATGTGATTTGAAAGGAAAAGGCATATTAAAGATTAATTGTCACTTTGACAAAGAGAAAGTCGTGTTTAGGATATATCTACTAGATGTCATGATTTACTCTGTCAGCTTCACAACCAACTGGCTGACATATTCACTAAGTCTCTGTTAGGCATGGAAGTAATGAGAGGGTTAGATCTTTGCTTCTTTTAGTCCTGTTCTGTCATTTCC